TTTGAAGTTGTAGTCACAAAGTTATGTCTGTCTGGTAAGCATCAAACAAAAAAGCCCCACTCTCTTTATTGAGACAATCACCTAGAATTATTATTTCTTGTCAAGGTGATAGTTATCATGGCCCTTAAAATAAGTTCCAGTATAAACCATGATCTTTGATCTATATTCCATGATCTTTGATCTCTATTTCTTCTAAGTTGTTACTATTATGGAACACATTAGCAAAATTCACGAGCAATTTAACATGATTAAAAGGAGTATAGAAGCTTTTCAGTATTGGAGGGGAAGACAATCCAGCATACTGACTTCTCCAAGAGCAATCTTTGCTTCAAAAACAGGAGTACCCAGGGGAACTGTTCTTGTTAACAGATTTCATCTAAGGAGGAATACACAACTTGAAAGCTCAGGTGAATCACACTGGAATAAATTTTCTTTAGTAGCTTGTCTTGAGAAAAGGAATATGAGTGGCTTCTATCTGAGAGAAAGAAGGTCTATTAATATGTTCAGATCCCTTTATGCAGGGAAAATGAATCTTTCTCATCTGAAATTTTGTACTCAATCATCCAAGTCCCTCTAAAGCCCTTTTCTCCATTTGCAGTTCCTTCATCAAGACTGCAGAGGTTAGACAACTCCACTGTTCGCACATACTCATGTTGACAAGCCACTCAAAGGAGGCAGCACTGACTTGCTGTGAGTAGTTTTCCTTGGCTGACAAAAAACAAACCGCCAAAAAAAATGTAAGCTACATAGACTAGTAAATATACACGATACTCTCCGTTGTGGCGAAGAGTGAGAGAAGTGAGAGAACCCCTTTGAATTGCTAGAGAGTGGAAAGTTCTTTATATTGTAACTCTTAATCTAGGATTTCCTATCACCATCTGTCTGCTATGGTTTAAGGCCCATCTGTTGGAGGCCTGTCACTATCTTATTACACATCAATGGGTTGCTACTACACTGGTTTCTACTTTTTCGTAGCACTTTATATTGATGCATATAGCATTTTACTGATGAGAGTTTGGCACTTACAGAATAACACACTTTTAAGTGAGTATTTTATATAGGGGAAGTTGAAATAGGCAAATAGTATTTTAGTAGGTACCCAGAGTCAAATAGTGGCAGAATCAGGAAAATGATTTGGAGGTGATTTCACATTAAAAACAAAAGTATAACTGAAAAATCTGAACTTCTGGTATGTTGTTTTTCATCAATGTGATTAATACTTGTTGAAAACGTATAGGAATTTTAAGTATCTGGGGTTTACAGCAGATAGAAACCAAGTGAAATAACATTATAACAATGGCGGACAGGACAGAAAACCATCCTATAAAATCATAAGCTATAAGGCATTTGTACTTCGAGAAATACTAGTTGATGGAATCTAATTCCAAATCCATATGAAAATGGAATTTTATTGGAAACCAGTCTTAGTAAAACTGTGTTTTCATAGAAAGTAAATGTCAAGAACGCATAAACATTTCTTAATCTACAACTGTGCTTTACCAAAATATTCTACCATTTACGATGAATTAAAATTTTGGAGAAACACTTTTTAGAGCAATATTTAGAACCAAGTATGTGCACAGGGTTGGGGAGGGGAACAGCTCATCTTGTGCTGTTTATTCATTGCCTTGAACCAAAAGCTCCACACAATTTACTGATGGTCTTTGGGGCCTAATATAGGAGCTGATATGCTGCCTTATTTGGGTCATTATTTGAAGCTGCTGCTGATAAAACAAAAAGCTTTCAGATAAGAGATTTAATTTCAGAATGTAAAACCCTAACATTAAAAATTTAATTATGGTATACAATTTGGCATCTTATTAGGCATGATCTAAAATTTGTAATAATTTGGCTAAATAAGAGGCTTTCCAAAATACTGTTTGTAATAGTTTCTACACATAACATGATAATTTACCAGGAACTAGAATTAGAATACTTCACCAATTTACAAATGACTACTTAATATGTTGAGTAGTGCTTGCTTCTTAGCTCTTGACTGATGGGTAGAATTAGTCTTTAACTATTTATAATCTGTATTTTGTGCTTGGCATTCTAGTTCATATTTCCTAGTTTTTACCATTAAATGGAATAAAGGTATTTATTTCCAATAAGTTAATCTGGGACAACCAATTTCTATTGTGAGGAAACATTAGCATTTTTGTTATTAACACAATTCAGAACATATCATTTATCTCTTGTGTCGGGATAGTAATTGTGACCTTTTCCTAAGTATATTATGACTGGAAAGAATCAGTGATGCCACATCACTAACCCAGATTCTTTATATGTTACTGATTATCATTATGTTTTTGTCACAGTTAAACAAAGGTCTCTTTTAAAGAGCTCTAAAATATTTGAGTTAGAATACAGATCTATTCCATGGAATAGGTCAACTCAACTCAATTATTAATGAGCAAGCTGTACGCTTTTCAAAAGGACTGCTGAGGTTTTCTGTGACTACCTCTGTTTATATTACTGCCATACTTTCTACAAAGTTGAGCAAATCTTATTTATGAACCTCGCCTGCACAAAATTAGAGAGGAGCAAATATTAATTACATACAGCCATTGGTTAGACCTGAGATGATATCCTACCCTTAGGACAAAAGTGGGCAGGATGCATGGAGGTGCACCAAGAGTCGCAGAGGGAGATTTTCCAATCTGGGATCTTTCAGTAAACTAATGCTGTCCATTACATATTTTAGATGTCGTCTTTTCAGTCTACTCTACCTAAAGTGCACTACCATCTAAGAAGATAAGCAGTGAAAACCTTTGTGAAGACTGAATTCTAAGGAAATAATCACAACTAATGGTTTATTAAGCTGAAAATGTGATTTTGGGGGGAGTCAGATATTAAGTTTGATTAGTTTACTACAATTGTAAGAAAATGCTTAAGTCATTTGAATAATAAGCATCATCCACATCATAAATTCTGTACAACAGATGCTTTTATGAAATGGAGCCACTTGTTTTTTCATGTCTTATTGTAATATACTTGGCATTTATGTATTACTGTGTATGCATTTCTTTTTAAATGTGTAAGTCTTATGTAAATGGATATAAATATGATTTTTTTAAAAATAAAATATATGGTTCATGGAGTCTTGAGTGCAAACATTTGACAATTCCAAGTACTGTTTGTTTGTATTTTACCATTCCACCATTTTTACAGTTTTTGCATTGTAACAAATTGATATGTTTCCTGGAAGCATGTTTCATGCTTCCACATGTTTCTCCTTCAAGTCTGTCAATCCTTAAAGCTGAAAACCTGCCTCTGATCATGTAAAAAAGAATGATTTAACCTGGAACTGGAGCCAAAAATAGACCTTTAAAGGAAATCAGGGATGTCCTATATCTTTAGAAATAGCACTGTGATGGCTCGATCTCCTTTTCAATACAAAACAAAGCCAAACTGTTTACAAGAGTCAAAAGCAATTATTTAAAAAAATTTATAAAGAAAAAAAAATCTCTTCTTATTACCTGTGGACCAAGAAAAAAAAAAAAAAAAAAAACTTCTTTACTAAGAACCACATGTTCATCCAAATACCTTGAACCTCCAGCCAGCCCTGTTCAGTGAATGTCAACCACTGCAGAGTCTGAGGTCATTTCCACTGGAAAAAGCAAAACCCCAGAAACCTTTCCCTTTTGTCAATGTAATAGGGCATTAGCCAGACTCATGTCTAACTAACGTTATATGCTCTTAGCCGAGAAGGCCTTGTTGCGACTTCCCTGAAGTCAGTCTTATCAGAGGAAATAAGACAGAATGATTAACATATATAGTGTATAAAAGTATAGAAGAATAATCTCTCTCTTCCCTGTGGCTTTATTTGGTGGTGTTACTGTTGTTTATTCTTTGTTTATATGGGAGATTTCAAAGTAAATCTATTTAAGAATACCATTTATCTAACTGCTGATTTTCTGCTGCTTGATCTTAGTAACAGCAAGACCTGTCATTAGTAATTCCTTTTTTGTATTTAATTTGCTATGTTTGCACGTACATTACATTTGTTTTGATGTCAATTTTTGTTTAACAGATTCACTCAAAAGGTAATGGTAACAGAAACCCTCTCCATTGTCAATAAACAAAAATACTTCCAGTTCTCTGTTTAAGCTTTGTTTTCTAGTCACATATAGTTTAAAATTTTACTTAAACTATAATGAAAATCATTCTTTTTAGTGATCAATCTTTTAGCTTCAAAAGTGAGTCTGCCACAAGAGGGAGCACTAAACTTGCTTATGAAAGTGATTTTAAATTTTCTAAAAATGTTGCCTGATTAGAAACAATGGGAAAGAGCTTTTTAAGTTTGTCTGAATATGGGGATCTTGACTTACAGAAATGAAATATAATATAGAAACTACGGTATCATAATAATACAAACTAGATTTGTATCTACTGTTCTGCACAACTTAATTGCATAAACAGTTCTTCCCCTTTAAGAGATCACCTAATAAGAGATATTAACCATTTAAAATAGACTAACATACAGGGATATAAAAGATCCAGTTACTTGCCTCAAAAAGCATAAAATATTCTTCGATGTATAAGATCATTTTTGCCAGATTCTAAAACCCATTTCATGGATTAAACTTAGAACCTTGGTTTTCTTCCTTTTAACTATCAACATTGTGAATTTTCATATTTTTAATAATCAGAACCTTTACAAATATAATTCTCTATAAATAAAACTGCTTTTAAATGTAAAGCAGTTCTCATTTGTATACACTTAGTACATTTTCACAGGCAAAATAGATCAATTAATTGGCACTTTTCTATAGATTTTAAAATAAAATATTTACATTTTAATTTTAATACCTTACAGTAAAAAAATTCTATGCAACTACCAAAAGAAGATCATGCAGAATTTATTTCAGCAAATTGCACTTTTTAGTAACATTATATTGTTATTTTTAAAGACATTTAATTCAAAATATTTTAAGTACTATTGAGTGAAAGTACCTTATGGTAAGTATTAAAATAGAAAATTCCTTTTTTTTTCTTCCAAAATTTAAGCAATCTGATGACTGTATCTTTCTTGCCCCACATTCAGTCTTGTGAGAGGAACAGTACTTTCTCTGACCCTGCAAAGGAGATCACTTTCTTTAACCAGATACAAGAAAACACCACTTCCCCGGTCTTGTGCACTGTTTTCCAATCCCACTCAACAGGAAAATAACCCAAGCCTGCTTGCTGAAGTGTCTCTCAGATTGATTACCACGAAAAATGTGCAAGAGGATCAAAGATGTAATCGTTAACACAATTCTTGTATATGCCTGGGTTTATACCTTGCAGATGAACTATGATACACAATCGGCTACAGAATTTGCCATTTCAAATTAACTGAATTTTATATGAAAAAAGAAGGTAATACATCTTAATTCTAAGACATTAAAAAGTGTGAGATTACAGTTGTGATAAGATAAAATGTACTCAAGAGAAGAGACAGTTTAAGGAACCCAACAACTTCAAATTATAAGTTGAATATCTATCTAATTAGGTTAACTCAGTCTACTAAAATAATTAAAAGGAACAGTTAGACGAATGTATTTTTTCAGGTGTAACAATCAAAAAGCCAATTTTAGCAAATAATTTACTTTGAGAAGCCATTTATCTTATAGGCAACAGTCCAAAAAATCCTAACATTTTCAGAATGTCTTTATACAAGTTGTAAGCAATTTTTATGAAACAAACAATAAGCTCTTATCTATTATCTCTCATATATATTTCGTGATATGTTACCAGACTATATGTTAAGACAGTTGCTCTTAAAAATAATGTTCCTGATGGACTGAAAGACTGAGGAATACTTTAAGAACCGTCAAGACATGGGTATGGTATTTTTTGAGTTTAAATATATTCTTTGATAACTGATCTCATGTAGAGCCCTAAGTAAACCAAATAAGTAATTATCTGTATCTACCTACTCTGGATAATTGGCACATTATCATATGCTTATTAACAAAGACTAATTTTCAGTTATTTTTTTAATGCGCAATAGCTTTACAGAAGTTTAAATGGAAAGATGTGCTTTGGATATGACAATTTTTTTTTTTTTTAGTGAGTTATTTAAAAATTAGAGATTTCACATAAAATCTGGATTTTTGGTTTCTCTTAAAACTCCTCCCGGTTTTTAGCTAATGTAAAAACTTTTACATTTCTTCCTTAAGAGCTTTCCTTGCCAGTTTCCCCATTTCTACACATTTCCTTGTTTCCAAAAGAAGCTGGAATCATTAAGAGTATACAGTCAGCTAAAGAGCCCTCATCTCCATGACAAAGAGATTGGATTAATTGACCTCTATGCTCTCTGCCAGCCTGTGATTCCCCTTGACTAAGTAACAAAGGATTGAAGAGAGCTGTACCTTGGTTGGTACCCAGCCTTCCCTCAGGAAATATGTGACTAGACAGATTCTCCTACTTAGAAAATCATGTCTAGATGATTACCTAAAACTTCCCATTTCATCCATTTCATTTAAAATAACCATGCATGTGGGCATCTCAAGAATATTAGAAAATATTCAGAATTTCTATAAGAAAATTATAATTGTTTTCTGACTTCACTTGAGTTTTAGGTCTTGGGTCAAAGCTGCAGAGTCCTAATTTCAGCAAGTGGCTCGATATTAGTGTCACTTTCAATTAAAATTTTTTGGGGGGGGTACAATTTTTATAAATCGTATGTCAGATATATTTTTCTTAAATCAAAGTTCTGGAAAATCTATAATGAGCAATGTTACAGGTAACCAGTAACAGTGCTAATTGGGCTAATCAAACAGAAGGCCTTTTACTAGTTTTCACGTACATTGTTTTTAGACCAAGCTCTACAACTTACATTTCAGTTTGCATGTAATTTCTACTTAAGTATTTATTTCTGGGAAATAATTCCAAAATCTAACTCCAATTAGAAAAGTGACAAAAAAAGAAAAAAAAAGTCATAATGCCTGCTTCAGCATTTCTTCTATGTGCCCAAAAATGCTGGGGTCTTCAATTGTAGGAGATACCTGGAAAGAAAATTAGAGCCAGTTGAAGGTGCTTCATTGAACCCTTCCATTCTATACAATTAAACAATTGTATGCAATCTTGTATTCCCCATTATCTTATCATACTCATATGGAAAGGTTCAAAAACAGGGAACTTTGAACTCAATATTTTAAAATGTATCTATAGTAAAATAAACTGTTCAGTTAGCAAAACTATTGGTCCTAGATGGTACTTTCTTTTATGGGCCTTTCAATGAGCATCTATAGAAAGAATTTTTTTTTTTGGCATTTGCCCATACAACCACTCCTTACTATTGCATCACTTTTTATTAGATCTTGATGATTAAAAATACATATATTTGTGCATGTATAATATGCACAAAATTAAAAGAATGCATATGCTTGAATCAGCCTAAATTACCTAAAATAATTTTCACTCAAAACAGGAAAAATAATGAGCATATATATCAATTAGAATTTTCAAAATATCTATAGCCAGCCTGTCACTCACTATTAGTCACTAATGACGGCAATGAAGGAAAATTTATCCTTAATTTAATAAGATTGAGTTTCCACAAGTTTGAATTTGACATATTTACTAACAGTAAAATATTTTCACATACTGGTTCTTATAATCAAAAGTATATGGTCTTAATTAATCTGTGTTTCTCTCTAAAACCCTCATTCCTACAGAGAGAATGGCTATGCAATTTTTCCCCCGTAATATTAACAAAAAAGTACTGTTACGTGTTTTCTAGGGATATAATTCATGCTTGAGAACCATTGAAAGATCTTAGTTGACACCAAAGAAGTGGGGGAAAACATTTCAAAACCAAGCACTCAACATCCTTGATCATTTACCTTATATGGCTTGCCATTGACAAGTGCAGACAGAGCTGAGCGGGGAATTTTGCCAGATCTGGTTTTGGGTAACTGTTTCACAAACACCGCTTTTCGAAAAGCAGCCACGGGGCCAATGCTCTGTCTAACATGTTTCACAATTTCTTCTAAGACTTGTTCCTCTGTTGTATTTATATCTAGGGAGAAAGTTCAGATGGTAAGCTCTGAATTAACTTTAATCATTCAGGGCCCCAGCAGTCGGGGAGGAGAAAGACCTCTCACCTTTCTTCAGCACGCAGAGTGCTAACGGGACATGACCCTTCAAAGGGTCTTCCTTGCCAACAACAGCACAGTCGGCCACAGTGCCATGGGAAAGGACAGACTGTAATTTAAAACAAGCATTCATTTAGAATATCTATACACATATATATGCAATATTTATAATTTCAATTGGGGAAAATAGTACACATCAGATAACTTAAAAACCCACAGCTACCTCTGTGAAAATTACTACCAATTCACCGTTCACATCACTATTACTGAGGTGACTGGTTAGGATCCCCAGGTAGTCACTCAGTAAAGGCTGACTAAGCAATTAAGACAAACTGCTTAGCTTACCTGGAAAGTAAGGGAATGATTTCTTCATCTCAATTGTTTATTAATGAAGTCTGGGAAACTATGCAGTGATACCACTTGGGAACAAATTGCAATGAGCCTCGGAAAACAGATGGCCTCATGGTGTTTTGGCTTCAGTGCTGGCTACCATAAGGACACCTTCCAGAGGAACCCAAGGCAGCCCCATCAATAAACAGTGATTTGGGACTTTCCTGGCGGTCCAGTGGTTAAGACTCTGCACTTCCGCTGCAGGAGGCACCAATGTGATCCCTGGTTGGGGAACTAAGATCCCACATGCCGCATGGCACAGCCAATAAGTAAATAAAATAAAATTTAAAAAAATAAATGGTGATTTTATTTCCACCTCTGTTACTGAGCAATGAACAGAGCACACTTCTCTTCTTGAGTGACCACCCATCCAGAGAGGATTTTCCAAGATGTGGAGAAAAGGCTGGACATGGAGTGAAGCCCTGACATCACCACTGTTGACCAACCATTTTCATATTGTTCACCCTAAGCTCTAAATGCCTTAAAGAGCAAAGCAAATTTCTATCTGGAATCACAAGAACTCAGAGAATACAGTAACCACATGAAATACAGAAGCTTAGGATTAAGAAAAAAAAAAAAATTCTGCTGTGATTGGACTTTTAAAAATGAATGTTCAAAAAGTTCTTTTCTGAGAGATTAATATATATTTCAAGTGACTCCAAACCCCTATGGCTGGAGAAAACAGTGAGCAAACTTGTAACCAAGGGCTAGTTTGGCAGTCCTCATTCTTTCCTCCATGCATTCAGTCAACAAACATTTACTAATACCTCCTATCCTCCAACCTCCTATATTGCAGTAGACTTGGTGGTGAGCAAAAATAAGCTGGGTACTGTCTCACGGTGCTTACAGTCTAGTAGCAAAGGGTGATGTTAATAAATAATCATGAATATTTAATTACTATGAATGTCTAGATGTAAAGTGGTACAATCTTTGGGGAAATAACTTGGATTTCTAAATGAGAGACAGAACCAAAGCAACCAATGTGGCAGAAGAATATGGATCTCAGAGAAGACTCCCCTTAGGAAGTGACTCAGGATGAGCTCAGGTCTAAAGGGTCTGTATGCAAGGACCCTTGCATACAGGGGCGGGGCAAAAGCCCTGTGGAAGCACGGGGCTTGTACCATTCAAATCTAAAAGGGACCAACGTGGCTGGAAAGCAGAGAGCAAAAGTGAGAATGGTGTAAGAGGAAATGAAGCTACAGAGATAGACAAGGGCTGTGAATGCGAAGGGCTTCCAACTATTTTAGTAGCATTGGAAGGTAATAAAGCACTTTCAGGAGGTAAGGAGGCGATGCAAGATCAGAATGGGTTTTTTAACAGACTTTATTTTTTCAGAATAGTTTTAGATTCACAGCAAAATGGAGCAGCAGAAAGTACGTTGTTCCCATATAACGCCTGCTCCCATTCACACACAGCCTCCGCACCATCAAAATCCCTCATCAGAGCAGTAGAGTTACAACTGCTGAGCCAACACTGACACATCACTCTCATCCCACTCCACAGTTCACGTTAGACTTCACTCTTGGTGTTGTACACTCTATGGGTTTTACAGCACGGATCCATGATTACAGTATTTTACAGAGTAGATTCACTGCCCTAAAAATCCACTGTGCTCTGCCTATTCATCCATCACCTTCCAATAACTCCTGGCAGCCACTGATCTTTTTAACTGTCTCCGGAGTTCTTTTCCAGAATGTTAATATAGTTGGAATCCTACATATGTAGCCTTTACAGATTGGCTACTTTCACTTCAGAGTGGATTTTGAAAAACAAAAACTTACTTTGGTTCATTGTGAAGAATAAATAGAGGATTGTTGAAGGTGGGTGTCATAGTTTACCCAGGGAAACACCCAGAGAGGCTACAATAGTAGACTAAGGTTATAGTAGTGGGTATAAAAAGATTCCAGAGTTTTTAGAGGTAAAATTGACAGAATTTGATGATAAATAGGATATGAAGTAAGAAGTCAAAGGGGTTAAAGATGATTCTGTGGTTTTTGGCTTGAGTAGCTGGTTGGATAGTGGTGTCATTTTCTAAGCCAGAAAATGCTGGTGAGGGCTAGGCTTGGGAGGAAACATCATGTATTAAATCTTGGAGATATTCCATTTAAAGTACCTTTCAGACATCCAAGGCAAGGCAATTGGATCTGAGGAGAATCTTAATCTGAAAATGTGTATTTGAATGCCATTAATGTATAGATGACAATGAAAGCTATGCACATGGATGAGATTATCTGGGGAGAAAGCAGTGAGAAGAAAAGGTGAAAGCCTTAAAGAACTCTTAACATCTAAGGACCGTATGAAAAAGGAAAAGCTAACAAACTGCACTATAAAGGTACAGTCAGAGGGAAGAGAAAAACCAACAAAATCCGGGACATGCCACTAAAAATCCCAAACTTTCTATGGAAAAAAAAAGTAATTCAAGCTGAAAATGAGCTTTCTCTTCTCTGAACTCCTAGAAGACTCAATGAACTGCTAGAATGTTTGGTACAAACCCAGTGGACTAACTCACACTGCCCCTAATTAAGCATGCAAATCAACATTGCCCCGTATCCTATCCTAGCATCAGCCTTGAAGTATTCAGTTGTGAGGGCTGCCATCGACATAGCTTTTGACTCCTGCAGTGCTCAGAATGGTACGTGATAAATAAATGATTTTTGTACTATATGTTTTATTAACTTCATTGCTGAGGTAAAGGTGTCTACGCCCTCTTTCCTTTAGTTGGTCCTGACTCAAAAGCTTCTGCAAAACACATACTACACAGACCAGACCATACAATACCACCTTCTCTCACTGCTTCAGTGTGAACTCTCAAAATGTTTCCCATTTGTTAAGTTCTTATTTTCTTTTCAGTCTGTATGTTGAGAGTAGAGACACATTTTATTGTCAGAGCTTTGTTTGGGCAGTTAGTCTTGATGGTCACCAGCCCGTGGAAGAGAATAACTTCTCTAGAGCAGGTAGGACACAGACTTGGTAGGTTCAATCCTTTAAATCCTATTTAGTATTCCCTTAATGAATAGAGAAAAATACTTTTACCTGGCTAACCAGAGTTTTAATGGTCAAAAGCCCATTTATTAAAGTGTTCACTGGTGCTTCTATACCTGAGTTTTTGAAGTTTTACAGTTTAAATCACTGTAAAAAAAAAAAAAAAATCATACATCTAGATATTTTGCACCTAACCAGTATGACTATAATTTTAACTAAATTGAACAACAAAACTTCTAGTCTGCCATGATTTCACCTTGCTATTTTAACTTCCATCCTTGGTCTCAGTGTTTTTAGAAGTGGATGGGAAAACGCTGACTGGTTTTCTATAAGGGCAGAGAGAGTATTTTAAAATCAGAAGTAATATATAACACAATTCCTTATAATATCTAAGTTTCCCATTTTTTGCCAACTGAAGATATGATTCTTAAAAATCTGTGAGAAACATGTCATTCTCCAGAATTCCGTGCCATCTGTAAATGAAGTTCATTATAGTGGATAAAACATTATATTATTCTATCAGTGTTAAAAAAGATGCCATAAAGGAAGAGAGGCAGCTTTCTGTGTTGGCTCCACAAACAGTATTTGCATGCCAAATAATGATTTCAACAACCGAATTGTGAAAAGGGAAAGCATCAAAATATATCTTGGCAACATATTGGGACAGAAGCCCACCAAATGTCCTATGGGGGGGGCGGAAATCAAAAGCCACTCATATATTCCCTCCATATAAAATTCATGAAGTATCTGTGGTTAACTGGCATTCAAGTACCAAAAAAAGTGACACAACTTAAAAGGTAATTGTTTCACCCAAAGTGAGCATATAAATGTTATGGTAACAGGCCTGGCAAGTAACTGTCATTCTTGGTTTCTGCAGTACTGCCATTTTTGTGTAAATTTTATTTGATTTAAATGGTTTTATGGTTTTAGTGGGCTAAATTATACAGGTTTCTTAATTATGTTTTAAGTATTTTAATTTTAGAAAAAATTAGTTTAAATCAAGCACCCTCGTAAAATACACTCTGCAGAGGGAGATTGTCTTTGCTATGGGAAGAGGAGGAATATTGTTTTACCTCCTCTGACAATGGAGTCACCTAGGAAACTGCCAGATTCCACATCTTCATCAATATTCCTATCAGTGGCCAGGAAAATATTCAGCAATTTTACAACTATTTACATCCAGTAGTCATTTAATGTTGGGTAGAAATGAAATTGCACGGCATCTTTGTTGAATATGCACTTTATGGAAATATATTCAATCTTGAACAAATTATTCCTAAAATAGTGAACAAAATAGCTAGCTTGAAAAACAAACAGTGATGCTTTGGTCAGAATAACCTTCAAAAGGGAAAACTGTATGCGAACACTGCCCTAGGCTTTAAATGTAGTATTTTAACACCAGGCTTCCAAGTTTCCAAGGATACTCGTAGGATTATTTAACAAACTAAATCTTAAGCTACAAGTGAAAGAATGAAATCAGGGAGCCCAATTTGTTCCCTGGAGATGTCTCTGCATGAAAAGATCTGCCCACAACAGTGAAAGAGAACTAAGCAGAAGGACCACATTGACTCCTAGTAACTTGAGCTCGCATGACCTGAACTAGCAGATTTAGGACACATTTTTCTTAAGAATACCTTGAACTTCCACCTAAGTGTCCCAATTGTCCAGCTAGATGGTAGGCTTTCAAAGATTAATCAGCTGTTCAAATAGATTTGGTTATTACTTGATATTTATAGA